CCCAGCTGATTTTTTGATTATGTAGAGATGAGGTCTCGCTGCCCAGGCGGGTCTCGAACCCGCAGTCTCAGGCAATCCACTCACCTCAGCCTCCCAAAGGCGCGGGATTACAGGCTGTGCCACTGAGCCCGGCTGAGTTGATTATTTTAAATTACTTGCCTTATTGATGGGCATTTAGTTTCCTTCCAGTGTTTTGCCAATGCTGCAATAAGGGTAGATGCCCTTTGTCTCTCTTTTAGTTGAAACAGTGTTCATGCCATTTCTAGTTAGTTTCCTAATATGTGTGTCTCCCTTTCAGACCGGGAGCGCCTCTGGGGCTGATTAATCTGTCAGTAACCAAACCCCAGCCTGTCATCTGACAAGACTTGTGGATACAGGGATGAAAGGAAGGATGGAAGGATGGAAGGGAGGATAGATGGATGAATGGATGGGTGGGTAGGTGGGTGCATGATCCCAGGTCCCAGGCAAACTGACCAAGAGTTGATTTTTTGAGACCAGAATGATTTTTCTTTTCTTTTTTTTTTTTTCCCCGAGTCAGAGTCTTACTCTGTTGCCCAGGCTGGAGTGCAGTGACATGCTCAAGGCCACCGAAGCCTCCATCTGCTGGACTCAGGTGATCTTTCTGCCTCAGCCTTCCAAGTGGCTGGAACTACAGGCATGTGCTACCACACTCAACTAATTTTTAAAAAAATTTGTTGTAGAGATAAGGTCTCACCATGTTGCCCAGGCTGGTCTCAAACCCCTGAGTTCAGGAAATCCTCTCACCTCTGCCTCCCAAAATGCTGAGAAGATTACAGACTTGAGCCACTGTGCATGGCAGAATCATTTTGCAAAAACATTTAACCTTAAGAACTGTCTTCTTGACTCCAGTTATGCAACTCAGAGAGTCTAGATTTTCACTGCCTGTCTCCCCCGCTACCTGCCACCCCTCTTCCTGGCTGTACTATGGCCTTTCTGCATTTCAAAAGTTATTTCTTTCTCTTCTCCTTGCTAGTAAGTAGCCTACGCCCTCCCCGTCAGAGCCCTCTCCCACTGTGATTGCCCTCACAGTCTGCCAGAGGAAGCTGGGCTTGTCAATTCCATGTGCGACTGAAAAAAGCAAGGGACTTAGAGTTAGGGGCTCGCTTCAAATCCATGCGCTGCCACTTATGAACTGTGTGAATTTCTTCACTTCTCTGAAACTTCAGCTTCCTCACTATGAAGTAGCCATAATAATGATTAAGGCTTAGGGCTCATTATCAGATAAGGTAATGCTCATGACAATGGGCTTTGCAGTCAGAAAATGCCATGCAATGGGGCCTTGTCTCCCTACCTGCCTCTTAGGACAGAGGAAGTGAGTTGTGTGTGTCTGTGAATCTGTCTAGGAACAGGTGCATGGAAAAGAGGCAGTTCAGAGGAACCAAAGAAGAGTCTACCGAGGCATCACTCATAAGGGAAGACCAGGCTCAGGGTTTGGGGGTCCCATAGGCAGTGCCCAGGAGCTATACTGATACAGGGAACCACCCCAGGGGTTCTTGTGTCCCATCTCCCTGCAGGGTTGAGGGTTGGGGCTTCCTGTGGCTTGGCTATTGGGATCTATTGCCTGGCACACCATAGGTGCTGGGTGAAGAGATGAATTCAGTAATGCAAGAGGGAGACCAGAAGATCCACAGGCCTCTGGATTACCCATCCGCCTTAGAGGGGCAAAGTGGGAAGCCATCTCACCGTCCCTGACTAACGTCATTTCACCATTCTAGCCCTTGAAGTTTATTCCATGGTGTTAACCATGACAGGCAGAGTACAAAAAAATCTTGATTATCATAGCGATTCCTGATGCTGCAGTTTATAGAGGACTTCCACACCCAGCAATACAGTGTGTTGGTTAAGGGCACAGGCTCTGCAGTCAATTGTTCTGTTGTTCATTCAGCTCCCGACTCCACTACTGACTGACTGTGAGAGCTGTAAGCATTTTGTTTGGCCTATCTGGAACAATGCAATAACAACAAGGTGCTGAAAATAGCGCCTGATGCATAGTAAGCTCTCAGAAGTATCTTAATGGTGGAAAGCAGGTCAGGCATTATTGCCCCATGCCACAAACCGAGAAACTGAAGTCCAAACGGTTGCATAGCACATCAGGGGCATAGCTAATGCTCTGGGATGGAAGGGTTATGGGTGTAGAGCTGGGCAGCGGCAAAAGAGGTTGAGGAAAGAAGAGTGTGGGGCTCGCTGACGTTAAGAACCAACCGACCCCTACCCCATCTCTGCTGACCACTTTTTAGGAACTTGAGTCTGGGATCTCTAGTGGTCTTGGGCTGGGCTGGACATCAAGGGGAGCAGAATCCGGGAAAGGGTAGGTAGGACTGGCTGCAACGACCTTCCCGCCGAAAGCTAACAGCCCGAGTCTTTTTCGACATGACCAGGTACTGCCGCTAGAGGGCGCGCCTCTCCTGAGACAGCCGGAGTTAAGTTACTCAAGTTGCGGGCTACAGAGACAGGTTGTGGAGGGGAAGGTGGGGCGCTGTGGAGGTGAAGCAATGGGGAGTGCAAGCGTCGAACATCACTGGGACTGCAGTTGAGGACGGCCTCTTGGCCTGGATGGACAGTCTAAGTCGGAGAGGTGGTTGTAGGATGCTGGGTATTACATGGGGCACTGAAGAGGTGGGAAGGCATACAGGGACAGAGACGCTGTTGTGTGTGTGCCCGTGAGAGACAGAGAGAGAGAGAGAGAATCTGAGTCTCTAGACACAATTTCTTTTACTCCTCCTCCTACCTCCTGCAGAGTTTTTTGATGCAGAAGGAAGTGAAGTGGATTTGAACTTTGGGGGACTCCGGGGCCGAGGGGTCAAGAAACAAGATCCCCCAATCGAACGGGACCTCTACTTGTCCCTGGAGGACTTGTTCTTCGGCTGCACCAAAAAAATCAAGATCTCCCGCAGGGTGAGTACTTGACTCACTACTGCCGGGAGCCATCGTCTGTCCTAGCAACCTGCCAGTCATTGTCCCTGACCAGCCAGAGAGCTCAGGGATGATCTCTGATGGAATTCCAGAATCTTAGATTCAGAGACCTGAGAATTCCAGAATCTAAAACTTGGAAGGGCCGATTCTTTCCTAGTGCAGAAGTCCGCTCTACAGCCTTCCCAGAATCTTCTGGGAAGATTCTGCATGGGAAGAGTCTCCTGTAAATTCTGCCCTCTGGGTAGTACCTGACCATGCCATCAGGATTTCATCAGGGTACATGCCTCATGAGTAAGAGGGAGCAGTGCGGGCATGGGGGTGCACTGGGAGACAGTCCCCAGGGTGACTGGTTGAGGAAGACCCTCAGTACCTCGAGTCCACCCTTGGTTTGGCCTCGTCCCATGACCCAGCCATGTGCCAGGCACAAGAGTAGGCCCTTCACCTTTGCCCAACAGAGGAGGTGTCAGCATGGCCATGTTTTCTACAAACACCACCTATCTGGGGATGCGACTAGGGGGTGAATGACGTAATGGGAGAAGGCACTCGGTGAGGGTCAGATATTTTGATCTCCATGTTCTTTCTCCCTTTGGGATTAAGAGACCTGCCAGAGGCGCAGGGCCAGGTCTGGGATTTGGAGAGAGAAAGTGGGTACGTTTTCACCATGTAACTGTTAATGGCCAGGGTAGGAGTTGGTTTGATCAACTCCTAGCGACTGCTTGGTATGCCCTGCCATTCTGGAATTTTTGGCTCTGGTGGCAACAGAGGGGCAATGGGAACGGCTCAGGGCAGGTTCTCACCATTGCTTGAGAACTGAGCCCCGGCACAAATCCCACAGAGGGTGTATGTGTACAAAGGCTAGCTGGGTGCTCATGGAAACCTCCCCTGCCATCCCTGGCATCTGGCTGCAGGTGCTGAACGAGGACAGGTACTCCTCCACCATCAAGGACAAGATCCTGACAATTGATGTGAAGCCTGGCTGGAGGCAGGGTACACGCATCACCTTTGAGAAGGAAGGGGACCAGGTGAGAGGGATAAAAGCTGACTAAGTTCAGTCACCTGGGCTCAGGTGGTGGGAAGATTGCAATACTTTTTCCTGCCCCTGTGAGCTCTGGTCTGGTAAAGGGACCAGTCTGCAGAGTGGATGAGATGATTCTTAATGATCCCTCCAAAGGAGTGGGTAGTCCAGGGACGAATCCCATTTTACAGAGTGGGAAGTTGAGGCCCAGAGAGGGATAGGACTTGCCCAGAGCAAGAGCACAAGAGCTGAAAGGAAAACCCAGTCTTAATTCCAGTGCTCTTCCTGACTTTCTTCAGAGCGCCTTCCAGCACTTTGGGTGGCTAAGGCAGGAGAATTGCCTGAGCCCAGGAGTTTGAGACCAGCCTGAGCAACACAGCAGGACCTTGTCTCTATGAAAAAAAAAATGTTAAAAGTTAGCCAGGCATAGTGGTATGCGCCTGTAGTCTCAGCTACTTGGGAGGCTAAGGTAAAAGGATCACTTCAGCCCAGGAGTTTGAGGCTACAATGAACTGTGATGGTGCCACTGCACTTCAGTCTGAGCGCCAGAGTGAGATCCTGACTCAAAAAGAAAGAAACCACTTACTAATAGTACTTCTGGCCGGGCTCGGTGGCTCAGCCTGTAATCCCAGCACTTTGGGAGGCCGACGTGAGTGGATTGCCTGAGCACGCGGGTTCGAGACCCGCCTGGGCAACTTGGTGAGACCTCATCTCTACAATAAATAAAAAATTAGCCGGGCGTGGTAGCACGCGCCTGTAGTTCCAGCTACTTGGAAGGCTGAGGCGGAAGGATCGCCGGAGCCCAGCAGGTTGAGGCTGCGGTGACTGGGAGCAGCCATTGCACTCCAGTCTGGGCAACAGAGTGAGACTCTAACTCAAAAAAAGGGGGGGGGGCAAGAACTGTGGGTCTCTTGGCTCTGAATATTCCACAACTCTGTCTCTTAGGACTCCAGGACTCAGCATGCTCTGGACAACATGCCTCGAACCCGCGGGCTCAGGCAATCCACTCACCTCAGCCTCCCAAAGCGTGGGATTACAGGCTGAGCCACCGAGCCCGACTGCCCACTTTCTTACCTATAAAACATCTACTTCTAAAAATCACCCTTCAAGACCCAGCTCCAATGTTTCCCCCTCTGGGTAGCTTTTCCTGACCTCCTCATATGGGTCAGTGCCTCCTCTGAGCCCCCTAGCCTCTGGGCCTCCCTTTTATCACAGTCTTGGCCATGCCATGTCTGTGTCCCCGACTAGACCAGAGCTCCTTGGCGAAAGAGCCAGTCTGATTCCTCTACCCCAGTGCCCAGAAGAGACCTCAGCAGAGTTTTGGTGGCTTAATGAAGCTTGGGTGAGAGGCATCATTCCTAGAGGCAATGAGAAGGGGACAGGAGGGTCTGCAGCCCAGACTCAGGTCGGGGGAGAGACAGAGGGGACCAAGTGGAGGGAGACTGGAGGGTGGAATCGACAGGGCCTAGTGACTACTGGTGGTGGTTGGGGGAGGGGAGGCAGGACAGAGACTTGTGGGCAGTAGCTGACAGCCGGCTCCGTGATCTGCCTGCCACTGAGACAGCCTCTTGCCCCTCCACTGAGGGCATCTGTTTTGGACATGCTAGTAGAGAAGAAGTGATTCTGGGGGACTCATCCGAGTATGCTTCTCAGAGCATGGGGCTGAACTTAAAAGGCCTTTCCAGAAAACCTGGCTAGTGTCCGCATTGTGCAGATGAAGACATGGAGAAGTAGAGGCAGGAACATGGCCCAGGTCGCAAGCCAATCAATCTCTGTCACTCCTTGGTCTCCCCTGCCCAGGGCCCCAACATCATTCCAGCTGACATCATCTTCGTCGTGAAAGAGAAGCTGCACCCCCGTTTCCGCAGGGAGAACGACAACCTCTTCTTTGTGAATCCCATCTCTTTGGGCAAGGTGTGTGGGCAAAGTACCACAGTGGCAGGTGGGGGATCAGAGTGAGCCTCCCGGCATGGGCCTAGACTTGGCCTCCCCTCCCCCAACCACTGTCAGCAGGCACTAGGCCCCGCCGGTTCCACCCTGAGTCTCCCTGCACGTGGTCCCCTCTGTCTCTCCGCTGCCTAGGTCTGGGCTGCAGGCCCTCCTGCCCCGCTCTCATCACCTCCAGGCTCTTCTCCTCGGGGTCTTTCCACGCATCCCTCGGACCTGGCACACTCCTTGCTGTCTAAATACCTCGGCATGGCACTCGAGGGCCTCTGCAGGCTGGCCTCATCCCTACACTACAGCACTATGCCGCTTGACAACTGCCCGTGTGGTGCATTTTAACACCTCCCTGCTTCCGGGCCCTCTGCTGGAATGCTGTCTGCCCACTCACCCCACCTGGCCCTCATCAGCTGCTATCACCACTGTGTAGCCTTCCGGCCCCTCAGCAAGGGGTCCAGGTTCCCACAGGCCTTTTATTTCCAGCTCAATCACCGTACCTGTCAGATTGTGTGCTCCTCCAGAGCAGGCCGTCACCTGGGTCATGCACCTAGTAGCTCTTGACCAGCCTTTCATCTCCCTGGTGCCTGGCTCAGGCATGAAGTACCTTCTAAAGAGGCCATGGTGACCTCCCCATCCCCCCACCTTTGGCCCTAACCTTCCCCAGGCTCTCACCTGCTGCACCGTGGAGGTGAAGACCCTAGATGACCGTCTGCTCAACATCCCTATCAACGACATCATCCAGTGAGTTCATCCACCTTGGGCCCCAGGAGCCAAGGGGAGGCTGGCCTGGGACTTAAGGGGTAGTGTCAGACAGGTCTGCCCAGTGCAGTAGTGCAGGCTGCCCCCAACACAAGGTCCCCCACTGAAGGGTAAGAGAGGATGGAAGTCCAGCCCATACTCCAGCCAAGTTGTGGGCTGCATGCACCTGGCAAAAGGAAGGCCTCTTCCTCATTTGCATGAGGCCACTGCAGAGGCAAGCGCCCCCGGTACTGGGAATCTCTGTTGCCTCCATTCCCTCAAGCCTCTCATTAGAGTTCTGAGTTGCAGACTTTAAGTCCTTTTGAAAAAAAGGCATTCTGCATGGGAAGGTCGGTGCAGCACCCCCCAGGCCCCCAGGGTCTGCTCAACTTCTTTCCTTACCACTTTGCTTATCTAAAACAAGATTTCTGGAACCCTCCAGCAGAAACTCAGTGTAAAAACAGGCTTTTCAGGGAGCAGGCTGTTTGGAACAAGCCCATCTCCTCCACTCCCAAGCAGTTATGGCTGATGAGACCCCTTCCAGGCGGAGGCTGTAGTGACTGTCCCTTCCTGAGGTGATGTGAGCAGGGAGGCAGGGACGTATGGAGGCGCTGCTCCGGAGTGCTTCCTGAGCTTTCTTTCATCCTCCTGTCTCAGTCCCAAGTACTTCAAGAAGGTTCCAGGCGAGGGGATGCCATTGCCTGAGGACCCCGCCAAGAAGGGTGACCTCTTCATCTTCTTCGACATCCAGTTCCCCACTCGCCTCACACCCCAGAAGAAGCAGATGCTGCGCCAGGCATTGCTGACATAACTGGTGGGCTGGGCTGGAGCAGGAGTGGGAGGAGGCTAGCCGTGCCTGCTTGTACCCCTGCCCCCCACAGCCCTGGGGTATGCAGGGAGCCAGCCAACTACACAGATGTGACATGAGAGTGGGATGGCATGGACTTAAATGGACATAATAAATATCTATTTATCCTCCAGCTACACCTGGGGAGTGTGTTGGAAGGATAGGTTCATACCACTCCTTCTCGTGGGACAGAAGGAAGAGCGGGCCCACAGACCTGAGCGCCTGGGTCCCTGTCCTGGCTTGGTGGGCACGCACAGGGTCCAAGGGCTGAGCCTCCGGGCTCCCACCTAGGGCAGAGTGGGGCAGGGCTGCATGGCTTTTGAGGGTCCCTAGCTCTGCTCTGACTTTTCATGACCGAAAGACAGTCTCTGTAGTACATGGTCACATGATAGAGACGGGAAAACCGAAGCACACAAAGAATACTTGTCCAGGTCATTCAGGGCTCGGTGCCAAAGCTGTCTCAGAGCCTTGAAGGCCTCTCCCCGCAGCCTCATGTCTCAGAACCTTGAAGGCTTCTCCCCGCAACCTCACCCTGCATAGATTAGAGGCAGCACAAAGAAGCAAGCACTGACACAGCTTTGGTTTTGTCTCTCTGGCCTCAGTTCCCTCATTTGTGCAATGGGCCCTGAGCCATCTTGAGGCAGGTGGTCCGGGAGGCAGGAAACCCTGGATTCTAGTCCCCTGCCACATTCCCCTCAGACCAGTTTTTGCCAGTCTTGTCAGTAAAGCAGAACTCATAACCCCTCTCCCACTTGCTGTGAGGATTCAGACCATTGATGTGAAAGTGCTTGGTGGACTCACTGCTTAGATTTCAGAATGGTTATAGCACTAAGGCCGATGTGGCCTGGAGGAAGTTCAGCCTCCAGGTCCAACAGGGCCTGTGTAGACCACACCTGCCTCCCAGAGTCATCAACACTGTGCTGTGCTCTTCTTTTGTGCCAGGGAAACATTCCCCTCTTGAGTCTAAGTTGAGGCTAGGATTGGTCCAGGCTTATGGAGATTGGGTGGACATTTCTGTGAAGTGACTTCAGAGGTGCCAGAAAAGGTCTCATATTATCCAGATTCCTTGAAACATCTCCATTCAAAATACCTTATCAGCTTAAGGTCTCTTCTTAGATGGGAGTTCAGTAGCACTTGTCAGCCACTTAAAAATCATCATGTGGCCGGGCTCAGTGGCTCAGCCTGTAATCCCGCGCTTTGCGAGGCCGAGGTGAGTGGATTGCCTGAGCCCGCAGGTTCAAGACCCACCTGGGCAACTTGGCAAGACCTCATCTCTACAGTAAATAAAAAAATTAGCTGGGCATGGTAGCGCACGCCTGTAGTTCCAGCTCCTTGGAAGGTTGAGGTGGAAGGATTGCCAGAGCCCAGCAGGTCGAGGCTGCGGTGGCCGGGAGCGGCCACTGCACTCCAGTCTGGGCGACAGAGTGAGACTCCAACTCAAAAAAAAATTTAAATAAATAAAAATAAAATAAAAAAATTTAAAAATCATCATGCAATGCCTGTAATCTCAGTGCTTTGGGAGACTGAGGCAGGATTGCTTGAGTTCAAGACTGGACTGGGCAACATGTGAGACCCTAACTCTACAAGAAAAATAAAGTAGCCAAGTATGGTGATGTGTGCCTATAGTCCTAGCTACTTGGCAGTCTGAGGCAGGAGGATCACTTGAGCCCAGGAGTTCAAGGCTGTAGTGAGCTATGATTGTGCTGCTGCACCCAGCGAAGGGGACAGAGTAAGACTTTGTATCTAAAATAACAACAGAAAAAGAAACAATTGAGAAGGCATTAGCCCAAGACTTTGAAATGAAGACTGTGAGACCACAGTTCTAGGAAGCATTTCAGTACACTCACATGTGAAGTTGGGTACAGTAGCTCACACCAGTAATTTCAGCACTTTGGGAGGCTGAGGCAGGACTGCTTGAGCCCAGGAGTTTGAGATCAGCCTATGCAACATAGTGAGACCTCATCTGTACAAAAAAACAAAATTAGCTGGGTGTGGTGGCCCATGCCTGTAGTCCCAGCTACTCAGGAGGCCGAGGTGGGATCTCCTGAGCTCAGGAAGTCAAGGTTGTGATTGTGCCACTGCATTCCAGCCTGGGAGTGAGACCCTGACTAAAAAAAAAAAATAAGAGGATGTGGCCTCTGGAATCAGACACCCTGTTCTGAATCCTGGCTGTGCTAACCAGCTGTGTTGCCCTTGGGCAAACTTTCACTTTTCTGAGCCTGTCTGAGCTCCTATCTTGCAGGCTTTTTGTGGAAACCAGTTGGAATGAAGCTGACACTGCCCTGAGGCAGGACCCAGGGGTGAGGGTGGTGGTAGCTGCTTGTTCTGAAAGCAAGCCCTGAGTAGTGAGGGAGCCTGGGGCCAGGGCTCTGAAACTCACTGATCTCTAGGGCAGCAGGAAAGTCTGCTCTTTATGATGAGGCTCTGGAGGAAGTCTGGACTCATGCTTGTTGAGAAATCTTTGAGATTTCTATGACCTCAGTGATCTTCAGTGTTACTTTGTGGGTTAGGCAAAGTAGGGCTTATCATATGCTCCCCCTTTTCTGAGGCAGGATCTCACACTGTTGCATATAGCCAGGTGTGGTGGAGTGGAGTGGTACAAACTCGCTATAGCCTTAAACTCCTGGGCCCAAGCAACCCTCCCCTCAGCCTCTCAGGTAGCTAGGACTGTAGGCCACCGTTCCCAGCTAATTTTTAAGTTATTTTTTGTAGAGATGAGGTCTCAAAACGTTGCCAAGACTGATTTTGAACTCCTCCTGGCCTCAAGGTGGTCCTCTGGCCTCAGCCTCCCAAAGTACTGGGATTATAGGCATGAGACACCATGCTCTGCCCATGTGCCCATTAACTAGGCATCAAGGATTCAGGACTACAGGGCATTGACCTACCCATAATCAGTTTGAGGCCCACTGGTGTTTTCCAGTGGTTCCTACCACCTTTTCTAGCTCAATGTCCCAAGGCCATGATCTGAACCATGTGAAGTCTGGTGTCTATCCTAGTGGCTGAGACACAGGCTGGTGAGTGAACCAGTTGACATACACACCTAAGGCAGCAAACTGCCCCTCATTCTTTCAGTACAAACCAGTTAACAACCTGTCCCACAGGAGTAACATGAGAATAAAGGTATATAAGGCAGTGACCAGGTCCTCCATTTATGCCAACTCCCTACAGCCTGGCTGGGCTGCCTGTCACCCCCACACTGATTTGCTCTCTTACGGCACTCAACCCTGTCCCTCTTGGGGACTATAACACCTCAGCTCAATTTGTCAGAAGCTAGGAAACTGAGGAATCCCAGGCCCTCATGGCTTCTCCAGGAATCAGTTTAACATCCTGGCCCCATTGCCCAAACACTGAAGGGTTGTTTCCAGGTCCATCAATGCTAACAAGGAGGAAGACGCAGTGTCAGGTGCTTTGGGTTGGGGGCAGAGGAAGGCCATGTTCTCTAAGCCTGGTTCCACAGATGCTAAACAGTCTTTTTTTTTTTTGAGTTGGCGTCTCACTCGGTCGCCCAGACTGTAGTGCAGTGGCCGTTCCCGGCCACCGCAGCCTTGACCTGCTGGGCTCCGGTGAT